GACAAAGATTTGTCCTGACTGTGGGCAAGGCAGGAAATTCTAGCTACAATGAGGCAGGAACCAAGACTAGAAATGTAATAGGGATGGATCTAGGCATTTATAATATAGGTGTTAGATATAGACAGACATAGACACCTATTTAGGAATGATTTTGCAATGTGTAAAGATTCAAAGATCAGTACAGATACATATGAGAGGTATAGGCAGAAAAGAAAATAGACAGATCTACATGTAACAAAACCCAAACCAAGATAACAGGAAAAATTTCCCAAGGAAGAAATTCATGATAATAGGTGAATAGTTGGCTGCCTATTGTGTACAGGCTTCCTGTTGTGTACATGGATACTAGAATAATCTTCTTAAATCAACCAAGACTATCTAAAAGCTGGTAACTTTCGTGACTCACCTTTACCTCATGGGGTCAAGTCCAAGCATCTTAACATGACCTTAAGTGACAGATTATATATTACAAAACATGTAACCAGCTAAAAGTTACTTGAAATATTGAATCTTGATATCTGGAAGGAGACCTGGTCCTACTGGAATAAACAAACAGAGCTGTGCAGAGAAGAGAGACAAGCTTCAGAGGTGCTGCCTTTGAGATAAAGATGTGATGTATTGCCAGCCATAATTCTGAGCAGACACAGGACCAGAAGTCTGTCCAGGGATGCAGAATTTAGAATCATAAAACCACAGTATCTAAGAGTTTTGAGGAATTTGGGACCAGTCTAGTCCAAATCTCATTTATGCAGATGAAACAATCAAGAACCAGGTAAATGGAAGGTGCTTCTCGGCCAGGGGAACAAATACTTCGCAGAAGATGCTTCTTCCACACATCTCATCTCTGTGTGAGCTGCTTCTCAAGCCGGCTTCATACACAGTAGAGAATAGGGTTGCAGGTGCTTCTTCTGCCCTAATAGGACAGGGGCCAAAATGGAGAGGCTTTGACTGGCCAGTTTAATTTATACCTCAAAAAATTTTTTTGACCAAAACACTCTGATCCAGAAAACATTTCATGTCTAAGACCTGGAAAGTCCTTCATGTGGAAGAGAAGAGTGAGAAAAAGTTACCTGGAAAAAAGAAGTAATGGTCCATCTAATGTCCTCAAGACAAGCTTTGAGCAAAGACCTGAAGGTCTCAGCATAGGGAGAGAGTAACGTGAGTGGAAAGGGGAAGCACAGGGAGCAAGTTAGGAAATAGATAAGATGCGCCAGAAAAGAGAAAAGAGCATCTACTGAAGCACAGCACAGGAGCGGAGAATGGGGAAAGATTGCAGGGAGTAATTGGGAGAGAGGACAGAAAACAGACAATTCCTGTGTCAGGCACCGCTTAGTACACAGGTGATATGAAATAAAGAACTGCCAGGACCTACAGATCCTGACTTCCAACCTCTGGCAGTCCATCGTGCTCATCAGGTCTCCCTATCTTGAATTCAGGGTGTCATGTTAAGCCTACACCAGAGTATCTAAAACCTAGGATTTTTATGCAAGCATGTTGAGAAGAAAAATTCAGGAGCTATACTTAGAAAAGAGCCAGAAGAGTTCTATGTCCTTCAAAGGTGGGGGAGTATGGAAAAGTGGAATAGTTGACCAGATGGAGAATCAGCAACTGCATAAGCCAAGGAGAGGGGCCGGAAAAAAGACTAATGACAAACTTTTCTAGGAAATAAAAATACAATTAAAGCCCCTAGGATATGAACCATCACCTCTCACACATGGACCATTATCCAAGAAACATGAACCATTCCCCCAGGACACATGGACCATCCCCTAGGAAATACAGACCACTCCCTAGGAAACATGGACCATTCCCTAAGAAACATGGACCATTATCCAAAAAATGTGGAGTATTCCCTCAGACACATGGACCATCCACTAGGAAACACGGACCACTCCCTAGGAAACATGGACCATTCCCCAAGAAACATGGACCATTCCCTAGGAAATATAGACCATCCCCTAGGAAACATGAACATTTTTTTTTTCAGTGGGGTTACTGGGTGCTACAGTTTGACTGTATTTCCTGCAAAATTCAGGTGTGCCTTGGACAGTACTAAGAGTGAGAGTCTTTGATGAGAAGTGCTCAGTCCATGTGAATGTGAGGTCAGACGCCTTATAAAAGGGCTTCATGGTGGGAGTTGGTCCTATCTCTCCTGTTTTCTGCCATCTAAGGACCCAGCAGGGCAACTCGCACCAGATAACACATGCCCTGCCTTGCTCAGGTTTCCCAGCTGCAAGCCTGTAAGAAATTAAAATACTCTGCTCTAGAAGCACAAAACTGACTAAGACATTATATGATTAATTAAGAAGGAAATATAAAGATATATATATATATAAAGACCTACACACACACACACACACACACACACACACAAACCCAACAATTAAGATCACAATTGTTGTATTTTAGAGTTCACTTTACATAGGTATATGTGTTTTAAAGAAATACATATGTAGGCTTCATTCATCCCCCCTTTCATTTTATACATTGTGATATTAATCTTTATATTTCTATAACAATATTTTATTGGCTGCATGTAATTTTATTGTATTGTGTCTCATCATTCCTATTCCCTGCTGGAGCCATTTAAGCAGTATACAAGCTCTTAAAACATTCTATAGCTAACAATCAGTTTTTGAACAAATTCCTGGACATGTAATTTCTTAGGAAAATAATTTGTGCCAAAATAGCCCTTCAGAAAAATTGTACCCGTTCACATTCCCAACAGAGCTTGATGGCCCCACGCCTGTTTCTGTTGCCAGCAGTATGTCTTTCTCATTGATCCTGCTGAAACAATATCTCTGTTTATTACTGAAAATACGCTACAGGAATTCCTTGTTTAATGTTTGGGGGCTAGATGATTAATAAAAAAGCATTATATTTTATTGATTTTTCTTAGCAACCAATTCTAAGAATTTCTTTTGCAGTATGGAAATGAGTCATTTGTCCTACATATGTATTCAAACAGCTTTCTCCCACACTATGGCTTCTTAAGCATTTTCTTTTAACGTCTTAAAATTGCATTTATATATTTATCTGGAGGTCAGAGGACAACTTGTAGGAGTTAGTTCTCACATTCCATCATACGGGTATTAGTGATCAAGTGTAGGTTGTCAGGCTTGGTGGAAGAGTCTTAGCCCTCTTCATGGTGTTTTTGTAAAAGCAGAACTTTTATGTCATGATAGAGTATATTTAAAAAAAAATGCTTTTTAAATTTTTTTTGAGTTAGCCTCACCTCATAGCCCAGGCTGGCTTTAAACTTGTGATCTTCCTGTCTCAGCCTCTGCTGTGGTTACAGGTTACATGTACCACTGCACCACCCCAGCAGTGTTGAGGATGGAACCTAGGGCCTTGGCCATGCTAGACAAGCACCGGACCGACAGAACTACAGACACAGCCCTCAGTGGACGCATTTAGAATGATAAGCTTGGCTTTGCACAACACTTCGGGTGCCTCTTCACTCAGAAACCACCAGGCATTAGTAAGTGTTTCAAAATTAAAATGAACTGAAAACTACATCAGTGATTTTACAAAAGAATATTCTAGTATTTAGAAAAAATAGAACTTAGAAAGTGACAGATTGAAAAATAATAATAAAGTAGTGAAAGAAGAGTAATCATGCTAGATCAAGTCCTGCCCTTTGTAGCTCCAACCCCAGGTCTCAGGCATGCCGACATTCCTACAAATCCATCCTGCCACTGGATGCTCCGTCACTCTAGGGCTTTATGGTGCTAGTGGTGTCTGCTACCACACGTGTCCCCACCCCGTCCCTACCAGGTGTGCTGTCAAGCTGCAGTTGCTCTGGGCCACAGTGAGGAGGCTCCAGGGGCTCACTGGATTCCCTGAGTTCATGTTCTTCCCTTCCCCAGGTGCTTTTCTGGGTGGTTCATCTTGGCAGCCACTGCTTTCATCCAAACCCAGTGGGCTAGCTCAGGATAAATCCTTCCCGGGGCAGGTGTGGCATCATAAGATCTGACTGTTTTCTGACACACAGGCTCCTGAACCCCTTGGAAGGCCTGAGTAACAAGAGTATCCTCTGTGTACATAATGGGATGAGTGGTAACCAGGGTCCCTTTTCAGGATGGGTGTGCTTACCAGGAAGACCAATAAGATGAGAAAGTTTGGACTTTTAGCTCAAGGCCCCAATTTAGGAAGAGGAGAGACAGGCAGGCAGGCAGACAGACTAGGGATTGAGTTGATCACCTACTGCCAATGATGTCCCTGGAGGTGTCTGTATACTGAAGGCTCCATTAAAAAAAAAAGATAAGACACGGTTGGGGGAATTCTGGATAGCTGAATAGGGGGGGTTCCTGGAAGGAGGTACACTCAGGGGCCAGAGACTCTGCACCCCTTCCTTCCCATCTTCTCCTCTGTGGTACCCTCTAAAATGAATGGGCAACTATAGAGTGTTTTCCCCAGCTCTGCAAGGTGTTCTCACAAATTCATCAAGACCCATAGAAGATGGGGACATCTGTAGGACTGGGCCCTTAAACTGTGGGATCTGACACTAACTCTAGATAGACAGTCACAAAATTCAATTCGACTACAGGACTCTCGGCCCTTAGAGAACGGCTTGGTGTGTGGGCGGAGCCCATACACATCTGGTGGTAGAGTGATGAGTGGTGTGTGGGAGTGGACAGGAAAAGACGTGGTCTTTGACCTTCCGAAGGGTGAAGCTGTGCTGGTGTGGAGGACACATCTTCCATGGGCTCCTGTTTTAAGGAAATGACTTGCTTGTAAGACAGCTTGGGCCTGTCTGACTGCGCTGCCTCTTTCAGGACACACGACATCGTGGTGAGAAGATGCACATTCAGAAAGACAAAGAAGAGTGCAGGAGGGCTGCAATCCATCTAGTCACGTGAACACTTGACACATTTCAGGGGTAGTTCTCATTTAATTGAGATTCAAACTCTATCTGTAGTTTTAACATCTGCCTATTACAAACTAATATTTGGTGCCCCATTTAAGCAAATTCCTTTTTTAGTACTGGAGATCTTGGAAGTCAGGGCTTGATGCCAGGAAAGCCCTCTACTACTGAGGCACATCCAGAAAGCTCCTTTTATTTTAAATGTTTAGAAAACTCTGTTTTAATGTCTGTGGAATTGTCCGTTGATGTAATGAGGCCCTTCAATAATGAGTGTCAATAAAGACATGGAGAGATGAGAATCCCCACTTACTACTGAGAAGAGGGTCCCATGGACAGCCACTTTGGAAAACGGTTAACAGTCACTTGGTAACTTAAACACAGTTGCTGGGTAGCACAGTGACTCCACTTCCAAGTGTAGACCCTGGATCAGCTACCTTTGGTTTCTGTAACCAAACACCAGACAAGAGCAGCTCCAGGGAGGAAAAGCCTGCTTAGCTTGCAGTCTGAAGGACGGTCCCTCGTGTCATGGTGGTGTGGTGGCAGTAGCACTCACTGCTGTAGCTGTGGGAGCATGCTCACATCTGCACACACAGAGAGCAGAGCAGAGGGCTGAGAAAACTGGATAACCTATGCAGATGTGGACTCGACCCAAGGCAACTCAAAGTGGATCAAATACTCAAATTTAAGACATCAGAACTGTGAAATTACTTTAAGAAAAAAAGGGGGCTCTCTAGCACCCTGTTTCCCCCTTTTCTCATATGGTCTTCATTTACCATGGTCTCCATTCCCCGTTCTCCCTCTCTGCTCTTGATCCAGCTGGGATCTCCCGCTCCCGCAGGCTCTCTTTCCCTCGACCCTCGCCCTTCATTGCTCCCACTCATGTCCATGTTGTTCATGTAGATCTCAGCCATTTCTCCGTCTTTGGTCGATCCTCGTGTCTTCCTTGGGGTCCTGTTTTCCAGGTAGCCTCCCTGGTGATGTGAACAGCAGTCCAGTCATCCTTGTTCCACATCTAGTATTCTCCTATGAGTGAGTACATACCATATTTGTCTTTCTGAGTCTGGGCTACCTCACTCAGGATGATTTTTTTCTAGATTCATCCATTTGCCTGCAAACCTCGTGATGTCATTGTTTTTCTCTGCTGAGTAGTACTCCATTGTGTATATGTGCCACATTTTATTTATCCATTCTTCAGTTGAAGGGCATCTAGGTTGTTTCCAGGTTTTGGCTATTACAAACAATGCTGCTATGAACATAGCTGAGCAAGTGCTCTTGTGGTATGATTGAGCATTTCTTGGGTATATGCTCAGGAGTGGTATAGCTGGATCTTGGGGCAGATTGCTGGCAATGGCCGAGAGACAGCTGGAACTGACCTACTCTGGTGATTGGATGGCCAAGCACCCTGATAGTCATGCCAGAAACCCCATCCAAGGACTGAGGAATCTGGATGCAAAGATCCACGGCTAGGCCCTGGGTGAAGCTCCAGGAGTCTGGTTGGCAAGAAAGAGGAGGGTTTGTGTGAGAGAGAGTTGTTGAAACCAGGGCTGGATAGAGTGCAGGGACAAGTGGCCAAAGGAATGGAAACACATGAACTATGAACCAAAGGCTGAGGGGCCCCCAACTGGATCAGGCCCTCTGAATAGGTGAGACAGTTGATTGGCTTGATCTGTTTGGGAGGCATCTAGGCAATGGTACCAAGTTCTATGCTCATTGCATGAGATGGCTGTTTGAAGCCTGGGGCTTGTGCAGGGACACTTGGCTCAGTCTGGGAGGAGGGGACTGGACCTGCCTGGACTGAGTCTACCAGGTCGATCTCAGTCCTTGGGGGAGGATTTGCCCTGGAAGAGGTGGGAATGGGGGGTGGGCTGGGGGGAAGGGGAGGGGGCACGAGGGGGGAGAACAAGAGAATCCGTGGCTGATACATAGAACTGAATGGTATTGTAAAATAAAATAAAAGGGGAAAAAAGAATACTAGTCAAGAAAAATATAATTAAAATCTTTATGTGAATTTCCAGAACAAATACTGACATTGTCATATTTACTGGAGTTCCAATTAAAATGCCAAATATGACTATCTACAAGTCACATCTTTGTCTTCTTCTGTACATTGTGAATGATGGTTTAATAAATATTTATTATTTAAAAAAAGGGGACATCCAATACATCAGCAAAGGCAACCATTTGGGGATAAGACTTCCAAGGCACCAGCAATGAACGTCAAAGCCAACGAATGAGATTCCATTAATGCAAGGAGTCCTATGCAGCTGAGGAGACCCCTCACATAAACTGTTTGCAAAGCATTTGACTGCAATGCAATGGATTAGTATCTACAATATGTAAGGAACACAGTTAAGTGGACAAAACTCTGAATAGTACATTTTAAATGATAAAATATGGGAGAGGATAGTTTTCAAAAGAAGAACCACACATGGCAAGAAATATCTGAAAAACAACCTCTAGGCACCTGTAATATGTAAGTGGGACAGATGTGTGCATGTCCTCTGAGCACTAGGCTGTTGGGGCCCCAGCCACAGAACTTATATATAAGTGTATATATTTAATGGCATTTTCAACATTGCTATTTTGGCAATAATAATAGACACAAAATTAGTTGATACAATTAGGAGAGTAGCTGAGAAAAGATGGCTCAGACATGTCCTGGAATATTATGCAACTGATTTTTGTTTTAATTTATTTTGTTTTGGTGGAACTAGGAATAATTTTTTGCTCTGGAGGAATTTACATACAGTTTTATTGATCATAGTATAAAAGGGGTTAAACAGTATCCTTTCTTTATTTTCTTATAAAACAACAACAACAACAACAACAGAGAAGCCAGGAGGCAGTGGCACTCGCCTTTAATCTCAGCACTCAGGAGGCAGAGCCAGGCAGATCCAGAGTGAGATCCAGGACAGGTACCAAAACTATACACAGAAACCCTGTCTCAAAAACCAAAACTAAACCAAACCAAACAAACACAAAACAACCAGAGAAAAAAGAAACTCTGATGTATAATTTTGTGTGTATCTAACAATCTACACATGCAAAAGAAATGATCAGACTACCATGGGGACAAACGCTGAAGGCAGCATATGGGTCATGAACACAGATCAAAGGGAAATGAAATGGGGCGGGGGTGCCAAGCACAAGAGCAACACACTTATACCCTGCGTGTAAAATTAGCTCTCCACAGATCAATAAAAACTGTGAGAGATAAAGACAAATGGTTGAGTCATTTATGGGAGATTAAATAAGTTAGTGACTGTGTTTCTTCTGTTATCATTCAGAGATCCAATTCAGGGCTAGAAACACTGTTACCTGATTCTAAAACACGTCTGTGTTGTTTTTCTTCCTTTTTGTCTTGTAGTTTTATCTACCATTTTCACCATCTTTTCTTAAAATTCTTGTCTGAAAACAAACCCTTAAAATGTCTGGTGGAGCAGCAATGGCTCACCCCCCCACCCTTCCTGCCTCGTGTGTGTGTGTGTGTGTGTGTGTGTGTGTGTGTGTGTGTGTGTGTGTGTGCCTGAATGGATTAGTTCATATGCACCTCGCCAACTGAGAACATCCTGTCTGCTGGCTTGCCTCCTGTCCTCCACATTAGAATATGCAAGCGCCTGGGCACGGCCTGGGCCCTGGGCCTCCAGTGTGATGAAAGATGTCTAGACAGTAGAACACACCTTCCCAGGCAGTAGGTGCTCAATCAATGCTTCACGTGGTTAGAGGAATCAGACCTAGTGAATGAATAAATAAATGTGTTTTGTGTTTTGACTTCTCTGTACTGAGCTCATTCAACATCTCACAGATTTGCCTAGCACAGGCTTAAAAAATGTTTGCTGTGCGGAAGGATAAACACTGAACTGGAAGCAGGAATAAATAAGGGAAGCAGCCATGACCCCCTGCACAACAGATGTTCCAGTGGGGGGCCAGAAGGCAAGTGACATGGAACAACAGACTCTTTGGCCTTAATGTTGTCTACTGTGGGGGGCAGGTATAGGGAAACTTCCAAAAGGCAGCAACCACACAAAGAAAGGCACAGTGGCTGAGGAGTACCACATCTGGGGACAGCATGAGGGCTCCATTTCCAAAGCTGTGTGCCCAAGGAAGGAGCTAGAGGTACAGGAGTGTGCCCAAAGAAAGTGCTAGAGGTACAGGAGTATGCCCAAGGAAGGAGCTAGAGGTACAGGAGT